CAATTGAAAATAAAACTTCGAAAAATATTGGCATACTATACAAAGCTAAGCAAATCTTAAACCAAAACTGCTTAAAAATCTTATATTTCTCCCTCATACAATGTTATATAAACTATGCAAATATTGCATGGTGCAGCTCTAATGTAAGTAAAGTTAAAAAATTGCTTAGTAGACAAAAACATGCTATCAGGATTATTTCAAATGCAGGTTGATTTGCACATTCTAAAGAACTATTCAAAAATCATCACATACTCAATGTTCTTCAGTTAAACCTTTATCAAATTCTTATTTTTATGTACAAACTACATGATAAATTAACTCCTATAATTTTTAATACATTTTTCAATAAAATTAATCACGTGTACCCTACAAGATTTTCAAATTACAATTACGAGCAACCTAAAATACACTATTTGGCTACTAAGTTTTCTATTGCCATCAGAGGTCCTAAATTATGAAACATTTTATTAAATAACCAGCTGAAAAATTGTTCTTTAGTTTCTTTTTTTAAACAAAAACTCAAACAAAAATCTTCTTAACGATGTTAATGATGTTAATCTTCTTTTTTAACAACTATCTTATTAACTAGTCTAACCAATTTAAATTTTCTTTAATTATCCTATTAGCTTATCTTCGGTTTTTAAGTGTGATTTTTTTTTTTTTTTTTTTTTTCGTTTTTTTTTTTGTTTTTACAATTTTCTTCTGATTATAGATTAGTAACTGATCTTAACATATTTGTATACATTTGTATATAATTTTTAATATATATATATATATATATATATATATATATATATATATATATATATATATATATATATATATATATATATATATATATATATATATATATATATATATATATATATATATATATATATATATATATATATATATATATATATATATATATATATATATATATATATATATATATATATATATATATATATAGAGGGAAGAGTTGCCTTAATTCGAACAGTTAAGGAATAATTATTTATAAACCTAAGATGGCTTTTTACTAACTAATGGAAAGTTTTATTGCGTTGAATTTGTGTATGAAAATGGATGATGTTTTACAAAATAATGATTTATCAAGCTTTTTTACCAATCCATGTGATTTAAAGAGTTTGAATATTTTTTATATTAAAAATTTTTATTAAATTTTTAAAGATTTTCTTGTAAAGTTGTATAAAAAAGAATTTGTGCTTGCTCCTTTAGTCCATGATATTGGTTGGTAGAAGGATCAACATAAAAATTAAGCA